TTATTATGTGGCCATAGCCTTTTAGAGAAAAAGTAAAGTGTGAAGAGTGTCAGAAAAAGTTTAATTATGCAAATGGATGTGAAGTAAACCTTTTTAAACAACTGTAGTAGTGACACAAAAGCATTGGGCCTGCATTCAGCTTCTAATTCAATGGCAAAGAACTCAATCTTTTAAGCTTAGCTTGCTCAACTGTGAAATAGTAAAAATATTTAACTCACTTTAGGGAAGATGAAGTTTGATGGGTGATACGGAATGTTCACTTGACAACTTTAGGTTGTTGTTGTTTTAGAGTAGTGGGTGATTTGTCTCTTGTTTCGTAGTCTTTTGTTTTTTGGGGTTTTTTTGAAATAGAGAATAATTGCTGGAGCAAGGTGCTGGAGAGGAAGGAATCAAGGGCATAAATGGGAGGATCTACCTCAGACCAGACAGCGACCTCATTCTCAGTAACTGCATGAAAGGAGGAAAGAGTTGGTGGGGATATAGGTCAGTTGGAGTGCAGGCTAGCAGACTGGGAGAGCTGGGTGGAGAGACATCTTACCAGATTGCCCTGGTTTCTCAATGAAGATGGACCCAGCCTTGAGGAGAATGGCCAAGGTTTGCAATAGTCAGTGAGGCAAGGGGAAAGACTGATCACCAAGGAAAAATGCAGTTTTTATATTTAGGCCTAGAAGTAGCAGCCTAAGGGCAAGACAGGCTGGTTTTGTAGTCTTGCTTTCTGGCCCGAAAAAAGGAGAATGAGTTAGGGTGGCCTGTCATCAGTCCCACAGCAGTGTAGCTGTCTTAGACTTTCTCTGTAACCTAGAATGCTTTTCCCACCCCTTCACTCATCCATATTCTATTTAACACTCATCCATACTCAATTTTAACAGGTGTGTTTGTTTGTTTTTTTAGGAAGATGTCATAAACTTATTGAAGCTAAAAGGAACCTTAAAAATACTCTCACCCAATCTCCTCATTTTGTGGATGAGAAAATACTGAATCACAGAAATAAATGATTTCCTAGTGTGGCATATAGTTCAGAAACTGTGGAGTTGGATGACCTAGGTCAGTACAGTTTCCATGATGCCACACAAATCTCGTGTAATCATAATTAAAAAGAAAAGGATAGTATGTCTGTGATCATTGCAGAGATGGCTACAAAATTGAAGTTGAGATTTGTGCTTTCAAAATTAAATGTTGTACCTATTATACAAAAATTATCCCTGTTGAGGATGATGACATAATGTAAACACATATGGCAATTAATTTTATATAAAATACATATATAAGAAGTGAGCACGGTGAGTGATTTGAATTGATGTATATGAATACCAGGAGCTGCTCAGAATCCTATCATTGTCAACGCATTCAAACACTGCAAAACACTATTCAAGGCTTTGCCATGCTTCTGGAGGGATGACAGTGCCCTCTGCAGCTTCAGCAGAAATCAGCAGTTTGGATGGAAAAACTGTGGTTTAAACATCAACATGAAAGTGTGTGCAATTAACATGCATGCTCAGGTATTCATTTTCCCTTCCTGAACTGAATAAAAATAGCTCTTTAAAGATCATATTTTAAGCAAAGTACACTACAGTATATATAGAAGGTACCTATTTATATAAAAAGATATGCAATAAAGAAAAAGAGATATGTATGTGCATATCTGTAGATTAATCTGAGGATAACACTCTAGGAAATTGCAAGTTACCTTTGGAGCGACAAACTTGTACCCTGGGGATCAGTTGTGGGAAGATGGTTAATTTTTCAATGTGATTCTTCTTATGCTACTTACATTTTTTTCATCATACTTATGTACTAATCTTTAAGAAAAAATTAATAGTAAAAAAATTAATAGTAAGAAAAAAGTTAATAGTAAAAATTTTAATCACCTTTTAGAAAAGTAGTATGCATGCAAACTTTAAAACTCTCTCTCTGAAAGTTCCATAACTTCATATTCTTTAATCTGTTGAAAACAAGACAACCGGCCCAAAATGGAGTTGCTCATGCTAAACCCCATGCCACCAAATTAAGATTTAAATATATTCTTGGCTTTCCAAGAAATAGGATTTTAAACTAGTCAATCAGGAATCAACAACTAGGTAATCTGCCTGATAAGGCCCCTGTCCCCCGCTAAGGAAAGTCAGTTTTTAATAACCAATCCACTTTGGGGCTGAGTGTAATGTCCTTTCTCCACTCCTTTCTACCCATGAAAGTCATTCATTTTTGTGTAGGTCCTTAGAGCTCTTTTCTCTCTGCTAGATGAGATACTGGCCGATTTGAATCAATTTTTGCTCAAATAAACCTTTACATTTTAAATATGCCTCAATGTATCTTTAACAAATCTCTTTGCCTTTCCTGATCACACAATTTAAGTTAAAGCACAGCTTTCTTAACTCTTATCATCTTGTTAGATACAGCCCGCATCTTCTAACTGGGCTAACAATCAAATTAACAGGTTCTTAAAGTGATGGTTAAGCCAAGGCTCCCTTCCTAAAGCAGGCTTCTCTGACTCTCTTGGGCAGGAAAGGGGGAAGAATCACAGGCTCTTTCTGAGTGTTTTGTTTCTTAACAAACAGCTTAAAATCAGTATCTCAAAAGGCAGCTTCAGGGCGGCAAACTGTTATTCCTTTCAGAACCCAACCCCAATGAAAACAGGAACTTAAAGAGATAAAAAGGAAAAGAGAAAATCTAAACCTCAGAATTTCTGAGCACAAGATTCTTGTTTCCAGGCTGGACAGTGACTTTGAAGGTTTTTCTTCTTTTTTTTGTGTGTGGGGTGGCGGGGCGGAGGGGGGAGGCACTTTGATTCTTTAAAGGTCATAATTCTCTTTCGTTGGTGAAAAAAAATTCTGGGTTTTTATTCTGCATATTGCATACTTTTAGGGTGAAGTAGCGTCCTGCACTTCAGCGCCTTGTAGCAGATAATAGCTATTTATTTATCACGGATCCCTCCCTGCAACCACCTTCTCCAGACCCTTTACAGTGACACCCCCTCCCATACCCGTGGACGCGCCCTCCGGCCTCGCGCCCCCCGCGCCGCGACGCAGGTGGAACGGCCCGTGACGTCAGTAGAGACCTCGCCCAATCAGCAGCGGCGTTT